GCAAGGGTCCTGAAGCAGGTCCTGAACACTTCTGCTACTGCGGTGGGAAGGGTGCCCAGGGTTAACCCTGGCCCCAGGGGTGTCTGGAGGAAGAAACACGGAGCCTGGGCAGCCTCTCACCCCGCTCTCCAACCTCACACTCGAGTTACATACTCAATACTATATTAAATAAAACTTTTTTTTTTTAAAAAAAAAAGATTATATACATATCCTTTGCTTTCACCACGTTCTGCCCCAAATCCACAGCACGCTGCTGCCTCGCTGAGCTGCTCGAGCCCTGTGGGTTAAATGAAGTGTTGAAGAGCTCCAAGAGCTAGAAGAGATGTAACAGCCCCAAAGGCTCCGGGACGTGGGACCCAAGAGCTCCCGTAACGCTCGTGGCTCCGGGGCACGCGCGTGGCCCTTCTCACCGCACAGCGGTGCGACGGCTGTTCCTTATCGCACAGAGCCACAGGTTGGCTTCAAACCCAGGGCAAAAAAGGGGTCAGAAAGCCCAAGCCAGCGCTCTCCGCTTCATTTAATGACAACGGGTGGGAAAAACTGATGAAACCCACTGCCAGGTCACAGGGGCTTTGGGTTTTGTTGAGGGGCGAGAAGAAGAAAGTGGCAGCGGGGGCAGGATCTGTAATTTGACATACACTCCGAAACCAAACGTTCTAATGTACGAAGAGAAAACCCTCATTTCCTGTAAAACGGGAACTTTCTTCCCCTCCATCACCCTGCTTGCGCAAGCGCTCAAACTCATCGGGATTTCCCAAACGAATCTGACGACAAACTTCAGAAAAGGGTCTGTAAAACCAGCAGCCGCCGAACGGCACCGCAGGGACCAGGAAGGTGCTGTACGCTGGAAAACAGAAAAAAATGGGCGGTAAGAAGAGGTCAATTTTGTCCCTGAGCAAGGGTGACACATGGAGTCCTGCTCCGGGGCACAGGGGACGAAAAGCAGAGCTGGAGCTTCCCCAAAATGGGGAACTGGGGGAATAAAGGACAGGGTCTGGGCAGCAGCCGGTGAGCTGGGGGTAGGACGTGGTGCAGGCGAGGACGGTCCTGGCTCAGCTCACCCAGCGCCGGGCTCCGAGCTGAACGGGACCTCTTGGGAAGGAGAGCTTGGCACTGGGGCAAGGTCTTGTGGACACCAGCTGGGGGCTTGCTTTGCTTTTCCAGCAATTCTAGAAAACATCAGGCACAGCTCCCCAATCCCCTCTCAGCGCCTCTCCTCCCCCCAGCCCAAAAAGCGAGGAAGAGGATGAGGACAGGAACAGCTTCGGCACAGCCCTCACCTCCTGCAGCCAGGGCAGGAGGGATGAAAGGGGCAGAGCAAACCAGGAGCAGGAGATGAAAGTTATTCTCTGCAAGAGTTGCACCATTTAAAATGACCAAGAGAGACGTGGTGGCTGTTCAGCCTTCAGAAGATGGAGGCTGCGGGTGCTACGAGTTTGTATGGGCTCTGCAAGAGGTTTAGATGTGCTCAAAGAGCACATCTAGGGGGGTGAATCCAGAGAGCCAAAATCCCAGATCCCAGGAGGAGGGAGGGCACTAGTGGGAAGCAGTGATAGATACGTGGCCGCTCTGCTCTTCGTTTTCCACGTGTATTTGCTTCAGCCACAGCCGCCCTCGGCCAAGGTGGGAAGGCTGCTCTGAAATAAAATTTAACCAAAAAAATAAAAATTAAAAAAAAATAAAGGCAACAAGTTCTATTGAAGGTGTTCAAAGTAAACGCAAAGCCAGATTCCAAAGTTCTGTATTTTTCAAAATAAAGATCACACGTTGTTTAGAGACAATCTACACAAGAGTTACAAAAAATAGTCGCCCAGGCATAAGCATACACAGGTTTGTTAATTATACACATATGGTTACAAGTGTGCTTGCAAAAAAGTTCATTGGAAATATACACAAGGCTCTGTAAATGTACACCGTGTAGTGTTACAATTCTATATTCAAACAAGGAAAATTGACAGTATGTTACATTCACTTACAAGTAGACAAAATGCAAAATACAGTTCATCTTCTGTACAAAAAGGGAAGGTGATTCACACTTTACAAGGTGAAAAGGGACTCTGATTGTAAGGAAAACTAGGGGGTTCTGTACTTTTGCACTTTTTGTTTCTTACTGTCACAAAATAAGCAAAACATTACTTTTTAAGATTCAAAAAAACACTATTTTGAACTGAATCATTTTTGTATAACATTTAGAAAGGATCGCTACTGTTCAACTAGGTGACAAATAAAACCAAGCATTTATTTTTTTTTTTTCTTTAAACATTAACTAGGCTGTATAAAGAGAACATTTCCTTCAAAAGAAAAAATTTACTTCTGGTTGAAATTACAATTTACAATATACAACACTATATGCTACAACCATAAAAGGTGTGAATATACACTGAAATGCACAGGTTTTGCTAATTCTTTTTTTTTTTCTTACCAAAAAACGGGTTTATGTCGATTCAAACTTCTCCACATTTACATTACAGAGGTTTACAAATGTACAATTGTACAGTCAGAAGTATGTTCCACTACTAGGGTACATTATAGATACAGATCAGACATCAAAACAAGAAAATACTACAAATTTTTATATATGTAAAGTCTACACCAAGTATACACTATATATTTATAGAAGCAAGACCAAAGCCGAGTTGGATTTATTTTTTTTTTTTCTTTTTCCTCATGCTAAATAATCAAATTGTGTCTCTCAATGTTAACAGAACAAACTGAGTAGGCAGTAAACAAGTACATCCGCCCCCCCCAACCCCCTCGCTTTAAAAACTTTCTGGGTGCGTATGTTTTCTTCCCCCAAAAACGACACCTAAGCTACCTCCTTTAGCACGTTATACTCCACCCTCTAAAAAAAAAAAAGCAATTAAAAAGTTTCAAAAACTTAATCCTTTTTTTAAACGGAAGCTTTAGCAAGTTGAATTGGGTTTTTTAATATATTTATAAACAGCGTTAAATGCGTCGTTTGTGCCATTTAACTAAAATTCAAACTCTTGCTGACTCTTGACTAAAAGGAGAAAAAACAAGTATTTGCAAACAAGTTGCCTGCAAGGCAGAAGAATTAAAAACGGGGTTTTCTTTGTTTTCTTCAAACCAACCACCCTGAAAGTTTCCACATTTGGAATATAGATACAACAGTGAACAAAAAATGTGGCCTTCCATGTACATTTGATACCTATGTACAAGTATTCTATACACCAGTAAAACAGCAGGGCAATTAGTTAATTAAAAAAAATAATTAGTACATGTTATGCATAATAAAATTAAAGAAATTTACAAAGGCTTTTCTTTTTTTTTTTTGTCTTTTTTAGCAGTTGAGCAACCATAAAACATTTTCTAACTGTATATTGGAATAGTGTCGGTTGCTGGTTGTAGATGCCAGATGGCCAGTGAGCTCCTTGCCAGTTGGCTACCTCAGATGATACCGTTTGGTGGTCCACAAATGGGCCCTAGGTCCACCCCGTTCTTCATGTAGTATTTCTCCAGCTTGGCCAAAATGTGTTTGCCGTAGGTGTATTTACGGAGGGTGGCGATGTGAGGCCGGATCTAGGAGATAAAAGAAAAGGGAGTAAAACTTAGGAACCCAAATTACGGCCACGTCAATCCTGAGTGAGCTTCCATCAGAGTGCTGGCCACCAGCAGAAGACCACCAAAAAATGCCTGAACATTAAAGTGCTGTTTACTGTAATCACATCAATTACTGTGACTCAAGTTAATGTTCCGTAACTCACTGATGTGGGTTTTGGTTTTGGTTTTTTTTTGTTTGTTTGTTTTGGTTTTTTTTTTTTTTTTAGGAGGAACTTCTGGTCAAAGCAGGTGGCATCGTCTTGAGCTACGTTAGTGGAATCCAGTTGGATCTGAGCGTGTGGATGGACAAAAGGCTTTGTCTCAAGAGAGGAGGCTGGAAAGACACAACCCCTGGGTGCTTGTGTTTCCCAAGGGTGCCCTGACACTCTGTCCCCAGTCCGGGGACAAACACACCAAAGCAGAAAAGGCACCAGAAGGGTCTGGTGGAGCTGAGCAGTTTTTCCTGAACATGGGAGCAGGGGCTTCTGCCTCCTTCCAGGCTACAGCCTGACCTTCAAACCTGCTAAAAGCCTGGAAAAGCTGCCGGTACGAATCTCAGCAATATATTTGAAAGAGCTACTGGGAGAGGCAAGCAGTGTTCCTGGGCTGAACAGCAGTTTAATGTCTGAACCTGGCAATTAAAATATTCATTTTAAGCAGAGAAGAGGTCTGTGGAAGGAAACTTCACCCTCTCACACTCTATCAGAGTAAAAGTCACTGTCAACAGCACTGTAATTATTGCAGCCAGAGTAAAACCACCTTTGCTGCCAGAGCACCCCAACAAGGAAAGCTGTTTTCGCTGCAGTAACATCATTACGCTGCTGAAGTTCTCCTGGACAGTTTCAGAGGAAGGAGCAATTGCAATGAGCAATTAATTTTCATTACAAGATGAGAAATATCCCACACCACCAGCACGTTCCCTTCAATAACACAATTACAATGGACTTTTTACTCTACAAAGTGGAAGAGAAAATAACCAGAACACGACCTGCTGCACTCCCTGCTCCTCGAGAGGACACAGCACCATCACTTCCCTAAGCCAGGACTGACCATAAAACTCCCACGGGAAATCCATCCCAATCTCATCCTATGTCATCAGCTCAGCCTCCAGCGTTAAAATTCCTGTCTCACGTCAAGGATCCATCTTGTAATAATCATAAATGGATGTCTTGGCCCTCCCCACATCCCATTTCCAAGAAGGTCTGACTGCCGCTCGGAGCTTAAGGAGAAGTAAAGCTCCGCAGGTCCAACAGTTCGTTCTTTGTTCACTTTCATTTCTAAGACTTTTTTTTTTAACTGACAGAATTATTAAAATTACTTTTTAATTTTTTTTTTTTTTTAAAAAGTGCTGTTTTTAACAATAACACAAACCGCTTGTTTGTACTAATAGCAATTTTCACAATGCAAAACCGATTTTCCCAGGCTTTCATTCAGCTTGATAACATAGCTCAAATCTTCATATTCAGTCAGTCCTATTTAGCTGTCATCCCAGTTCTATTTTTGACAACCACACTGATAACCTAATTAGCATTTTATTCAAAAGACTTTGCTTGACAGGAAAAAGAACATGTCAGTAAAGATCATTCGTGTACACATATTTTGTTTTGTTTTTTTTAATATACGTATCTCTATACATAGATTAGCAAAGCTACAGGTCATTCTGCTATAGTTAAACTGCGTATATCCCTTGCTATACATTTTTATTTAATTATCTTTATAAATTCTTTTGGACTAATACAGATTTTGGTTTAAAAGAACTACTCTGAGTAATTCCTCAACCTATGAATTAAATTCCCTGAAGATTATTTCAGTTGCATGTATGTTGTCTATATACTGATCAACTGCCTTGTGTAGGTAAAAATCAGCTCCCTTACACAGACAATATCCACTTCTTTTTCAGAAAAAAAAAAAAAAAAAAACCACAAAAAACAAAAAAACCCAACAAACAAAAAACCACACTCGGTCCATTTTACTCAAGGATTCTTAAATACACTTGATTTCATCAGGATTTGAATACCTGGCACTCTTCACAGTTCCTCTTAAAAAATAAATAAATATGGGGTGTTCCAAGTCTGTGTTAATCAGTATTTTGTTTCTAATAAGAGGTCCAGGTGTAGCTGGCACTTTTCACAAAGTAACAGACCCTAAAACATGTGACTGAAGAAAATAATCTCAGTCCCACTACATATTTAAAAGCGTATTTTTCTCCATTCATTGTAATTATACAGACCTGCAAATGTGACCTTTCAAAGCAGGAAAATGAAGACATCACCCGACTTTTAGAGCTCCCTGCCCTTGGGGCAGGAGGCATATGCCTTAGGAGGTAGGACTGGCAGCAATGCATATTTAATTCCAAAATGTCTTCACTTTTGACAACTATTAAGCCTGAAACTGTTAGGCATTCTAACACTGCAGCATAATGCTAAAGCGTAGAAAGTCTCTCATCAAAACCGCATTCAAAACTGAGAAATAAGAATTTGATTAATGGCTCCAGGCTCAGCATCACGCCCCATTAGCACGGCGTTACCAGCCAAGCTGCCTGTCCTGATCCGGGCTGTAAAGCAGGGACATGAAGTGACAAGGCAGCGATGGCAGCCCTCAGAAAAGCAAGCAGGAGGTCCACGCTTGGGTTTTAGGCGTGTGGAGGTCTGGCTCGGCTCTACTGAGCGTATAAAACTGCTCTCCTCAGCGAAGGCTGTTCTCAGTGAGGGCAAGTGTGTCGTCATCGCCAGACTTTCCGAGGACCCTCACCAGGTACCAACCCGATGGCACGGCTGCAGTAAGTCTTGGAGGTTTTTAGCAGAGTTTGCTACGTCAGGAGTGCAGAACTAGGTTACTAGGTCAGAATAGATTGCCAGAAGCAACCAGCTAGTTTTAAGTCCAAATGACACCTCATTATTTCACATTTTCATATTTCAGCTACTACTGAAATACACAACTTTGAAATACCTCCGTCGTTAGGAAATTCTAACGGCAAAAGTAATCATCTCCGCTTTATTTTCTCTTCGCAACCAGTGTGGCGGTGACAAGCCTTACATCCTTATCAATCGACAGCAGCTGCTTACCTTGTGCATGACAATCTTCCGCTGAGCTGGTTCTGCCACATCAATCATCTTCTGTACCACGTAGTTGGCGTACTGATCTTTCATCATGGTGTATAAGGCACTGTGAGGGCCATCATTCATAGTGCACACCTCATCGATCAACATGGCACGCTCTGTACGGGAGGCATGAGTAACGCATTTCTCCACCACGTTGCTGTAACAATAAAAGAAGGATAATCTGTGAGCACACAACACCTCTACCAGGCTCTTCCTTCAACCTCGAGGAGATCTCTTACGCTTCTAGCAAGGGCGGATCATTTGGGAGATGTATGTGCTGGCACAGAAGTTCAGCAATGTGAAACAGAAGAGCAGTCCAAGGAACTTGAGATCTGAGTAGGAATTTGGGTAAAGGACCAGTTCAGGTTTTATTTCACCCAAATCTGTGTAACTCGACAATGATGCTGTATTTGAGATCAGCCTCTGTTCTCATAACACGCCCATTAGAGTCATTCTTTGTTTGATTTTCTCAATACTGGAGCTCGATGGGAACGAAGGTCCAAGGTTAGAACAACAGGGAAATGCTTATTCGGGAACGAAAGATCTTAGCAAAGGCAGAGAACTTCCAAAATTCCTGAATATATTAGATGACTAGTCTCTGCTCTCCGGAGAGCCAAGTTAAATTGGATATATGAAAGGGGATGGAGAATTTTGCTAGTCTTATCTTCTGCATCCCTGACTGAATCATAAAATCACCAAGTGGTTTGCCACAACTAGTGCTCAGCTCAGGGGACATCCTACACTAATTAATGCTCCATCTGGAACGAAGTTCAGAAAAAAAGAGCAAGGCAAGTCAGGGAGGAAGAACCCGAAATAACAACATTAAGACCACGCTCTTCTAATTCTTGTTAATCTTACACTTCCCTTGTGTCCAGAAGTATTAAAGCACTATTTTACTAATCATAAAAAGGAGGGAACATTGAGCCTTTGAAAAGCTCAGCTTTCACATTTAAATGGCTAGAAACACACACAAAAGGAATTTACAAATGTCGGAAGTATTACTTTGTCTTGACATCCATTAAGATACCCAGATTTGCCTCTACCCATGTGTAGCTCTGGAGCACCTGGACTAACAATCTTGGACTGCTGCAGCTTCCCTATGAGGCATGTGTCTCGAAAAGGACCACGAGACTTAGCGCATAAAAAGCCCAGATCCTTCTGTGAAAAGTGGGATGAAAAAGAATTGCCGCTACACTGATTTCCCAAGTTCCCTTGGGCTTGACACAGCATCCCAGGGGCACTGAAATGCTCTTATAGCATGTTACTACCCAAGGGATAGTGACCACTTAAAAAACACCAAAACAAAACAAAAAACCCACCACAGTAAAACTCTTGGTCAAGTTCTCAGGAACTTGGATGAGAGTTACTCTTCTACATCTTCATCCTCCTTTGTCACAAGTAAAAACTTACCTTGCCAGTTTATAAGCAGTTATAAATAGCATTCTGTTGTTAAGAAAAAAGTTTTTTTCACCTCCTTTCACCTACCTACACCCCACCCTTAAACTCTTCTGCAACTGTAGCATGTGTCCATGCTCCCACAGGGCGTGGAGACTTCAAGGAACAAATTCATACCTAGCAAATTTATGTTGACTCAACACGAGCACGTTGCCTCTAATTTCTGCTACAATCTTGCTCTTATCCTCAGGCCGACCATGTTCTAGCACATGCTGGATAACATAGTTCCCATACTGATCCTGTTTGAGAGACAGCAGAAGTGTGTGACAAAATGTGGACAGGAACCATTAATATCAAACTAGTTCCCAACGTGCATTAACACTTACAAACTTGAACTAAACACTAATTAAAATATCTACTGTACAAATCATGTATATACTTTCTACTTCTACAAAAACGTGCATCCTAGAGTTCCACCACGAGGTAAAATGTTGCATCTTTGTACCAATTATAAAACTCAAAACAATGTCCTTGAATATGAAATGTCAATACTCTGCTTATTTCAAGTTCCTTTGCTTCCTCCAGGTTCAAACATAACAGATCACATGTCCTGGAGGGCTGTGTCATGGTTCTAGCTATGGGAGACTGTCCTTATGCATGTTTGTATTCTGAACGTGTGTATATTCAGATCACAAGATACATATTCTCCCAGTTCACAATACCAGAGGCATGACCTGATGCCTCACTTCCATGCCCAACCTCTTCCTGCTTTCCACGTGCTAAATACATGAGCATATAGGACAGGGTTCATTTGTTGTTATACCCATCGTGCCCCAATATCAGAATCCTGGTAAAAAAAATGTTTTAAGAAGGACTGCAAGGAAGAGGAAAGGCAGCCAGAAAGGGGGTGTGCATAAAACCAACACATTTTAAGAACCCCAATTACTTGGCACTTTCTTTTCCTGGAAGTAACCAGCTCTTTGCATGAACTCCCTTTTAGACCTTACTTGCACTGTAACTTCTGCAGCAAAGCATTAGGACACGTGTTCACGCAATAGTTAGGATCCTTTTCAAAAAGGAAAGTAACTGCAACTTTGATACTTGCTGGATATTTGCACACAGCCAAAACAATTAGCAGTGACGCATTTCTTCTCTGCCGTGTTCCTTTCCCATTCCTCAGGAACGCAGTCCCTGTGTTCGCACGACCTCAGCAGCACTACAGCTGCAGTCCCAAATAGGCTGCCAGGAGCTTTTGCAATACAAAGCAGTAACCAAGGAACATCTCACAGCACCTGCGTTCCCCCTTCCCACACTGACCTGAACGAGCTGCTCGGTGTGTTGGTGAAGTTCCTCCAAGATGGGAAGGGTCTGCTCGGGAAGACAGTGCTCGAGGATCCTCTGGATCACACGACAGCCATATGGATGTGTAGACAAAGCAAAAACCTGCATCCAACAAAGACAGGCAAGCACAGGCAGCAACACATCTGTTAGTCTTTGTGAATCCTAGAAATCTTTCAGAATTAAATGAACACACGGTGGTTTTCCCTGGGCATGGCAGGTATGTCAGCTTGCAGCACGGGAGCTCCAGCTAGCATAAACTGAAACTGGAAACATCTGTTCCCCACTGCCACAGGACTAACTGGGTGATCACAGGCACATCACAGCCCTACCTGTGCTTCAGCTTCCCCATTCATGAAACGGGAAAACAAATGGGAAAGCCTCTTGATTAATAAAAAGAACACCAGGACAACCAAGCATTACTAGAAGCTGGGTTAAAACACTGTTTCAGAAGAGTAAATCCAGTATACTGTTTGCCACCTACGTATTTCAAGCTATGTAAGAAATAGTATGAACCAGAAAGGCTAAAAATGCTCAGCAAAGGATTTTCCTTAACTATTTGGACTTGTTTAAAAGCCTTAAGTGTGCTTAGGAGAAGTGACAACAAAGAACCTTCCTTCTCATTTCTAATGGATTACCAAATCTGTTGGTAAGAACACGACACATTTTATTACTGCTGCACAGTTTTCAGTCTAAAGCACAAAGTCCTATTTGGTTGATTAAAATTAACAAAAGTAGCAAATCCGTGCACTGAAGTTAAACTGAAAGTCTACACATTTTTAATAACTATTGAGTAAACCGTGCAGGAGAGCAGGACTTGAAGTGCAATTAACTGCAGAAAAATAGACTTGAGGTAGTAAGTTTAATCTTCTACATGAAAGTTCAGATGAAACTGGGATGGTTGGTCAAAGAAACGTCAGTGCCATCAACCAAGTTCCCAGAGGTATTTCTGCCTTGCTTAATTCCCCAGCAGAAGGTCCAAAGCTAAACTCGAACCAGCAAATCTGCTGAGCAAGTTTCCAGCTAGAATCCTGCTTGTTTTGACACAGCCAGGCAAGTTCTCACTTTCAAAGCTGTTCCAGGAGCAGCCAAACTAATAAAGCCTGGTTCCTGCTATAATAACCCCAGGCTATCCTCACATCCCTGTGGCAAAACCCTCAATACTTCAAAGTCCCCCTCCAAAGCCAATTAAGTTGGAAACGCCCAAACCAGTGCTTTTGTAATGGAAGACAAGCTGACTACAGGCAGAATAAAGCCAGCTACACAATTAATATCCAGGACATCTATTCAGGAGAGGATACCAAGGAGAAAAAAAAAAAACCAAACCTAACAGGAAAATGAAGCACAAGTAACTGCCCTTTTCTAGATGAAACTCATGTTTTTCCCCTGGTCTGAGACCCACGGGAAACAGCAGCCCTCTGAGCCATCTTCACAGACAGGGATCACAATGAAAGTTTACTATACCCATCACAAAACTCTGCTCACCACCTTTACTATGAAGATGGATTAGCAAGAGACTTGTTTCGCCCTCCATCAGTCAAAAAATATGTGATGTCCCAGGAAAACAAGGATGCTTTCTTGTGATATACCTGCACAAAAATGGTAACAGAAACATGACCAAAGAATTTCTAGGCTCCCCAACGTTGCTGCATAAACCCTTCGGTTGATACTTGCTAAAATTTAAAATTCAATATAGTTGAACAACTTACAGCCACTCTCATGCTATTCAAAGCAACATGTAAGAATACAAGGTATGAGAGTCGGTATCTTGGTCAAGGACTTACCTGTCCCTTAAATGCATCAATGATAAACTGCAGGGACTGAGGCTGCACACACTCAATACACTTCTGCACCACATGATTACCGTTCTGGTCTTTGACGCACTTCAGGACATGGCCATCCAACTCCCGTACCATCTCATTCTATTAGGAGGAAAGACAAACAGAAAGCACCACCAGGATTCATGGCTGATAAATGCAAAGTTTTTACCACTAAACGTGGTCAAGAACATGAAAGGTATGAAGGATGCACTGGGGTATTTCAAACTGGAAGTTCTCCAGTGGCCAACTGCCGAGACGAAGCTTGCTGTGCTACAGAAATCACCAAGAAAAATACTACTATGAAAGGAAGATGAAGCACTCCTTTCATTAAACATGAGTGTCCTCTTACAAGTTAAGTATCCAAATTTGAGAAATTTTACTGATCCATAGCTTTACTGTGCATCCCCCATTTGCCCCTCTGCTCCCCTCAAAGAGAAAGAAATCTAAAGTGCCCAAACTTCGCAAACTTTTTGGGTATCAGCTTCACAGGTCACTAAAATGGGGTCAGCACTGGGATAAGACCTTGCTAGTATTTTACATAGGCAAGGTAATACTGCATGATAATTAAGGAATTCGAGCAGATAAAGTTTAGATACAACTAATGTACCACACGTGCAGGCCAAAAGCTTCACAACCAGGAAAGAGAGAATGACAGTTTTAGGGAATTTAATGACACTACAAAACTGGATGAGTTCAGTTTTGCAACTGATAACAAAACCAGGCATTTCAGGAACAGAGAGTACTCAAAAATACCATTCTGGAGGAAGACAATGAGTAAATCCTCGGAGCAGCAGTGCTGGGGCTCGGGCACCACCCTGCTGACACACTACAGGAACAGCTTAGCTCAGGCTCAGCCTAAAGGGAATGCGCATTCCTAGAGCCTCTTTCAGTTTTTTAATTTAATAACCTACATTGAGATTCTTGTATTACGATTCCTAACACCTTTATTAGCTAGCTTGCCTAGTGTATTTTTCATATTAATTCATTGTTCATAAAACCCTAGAGGAACTGCTTTATTAATGAGCTTTGAGTGGGACTCTGGCTATCATCCACATCTCTCCAACGCCAGGCCTGGCTCGACAGGAACCAGGAGCTCCTCGTACATCTTGCTGCAGGAAAGCAGAACATTGACCCACATATCAAAGCGGTGATATCTCCGCAAATATTAAAGGCAAAATTCTGGCACTGCTTCCTTCAAGGCATTTAAAAATATCTTCTAATTCACCATCATTCTCAGTTTCCCCTACGTACATAATCTGATTTCAGGGAATCAACAGAGAACCAACATCATTACCGGTCAAGTGGAACAAGGGGATGACAACAAGACCCAAGAACGGTGTCACATACTTATCATGCACGTGAAACGTAACAAACATGCCATAAACCAAACCAAAAGTACACCAGCCACAAGGGGAACAGAAGGTCGCAGTTCAGGTCACCAAACGGCAAGGAACGTTAAACATCAAGAAGAAAGTTAAAATTGAAACTTACAATTACCTGCTGGTCTGGGGGAATAAACTCAAGGGCCTTCTGGATCACCCTACAGCCGTACATCTGCAGAGCCAGGGACAGAACATGCCCACGGATGCGTTCTGCCAAGGCTAACTTCTGTTCCAGGCTGCCAAACTGGGAAGATGAAAACCAATCACTACAAGCACAAAACCCTCAGTATGGCCAAGCGGCACAGCAACCCTCCCACGCCGTCACACTAAAGTGTTAAACAAGAAGGACTGTGCCTACTGAAAAGAAAGAAAATACCAACCACACCTCAATGGATGTGAACAGGCACAAGGCAGACGTCTGTTCTGTGTCTGTCAAACATGCCTGGCCCACGGGAAATAAATTCCAGAGTCAAAGGTGCTGGAGCCAGCAGGGTGACATGTACCAGTTCACTAACTCTTGACAGGGTTGATAGAAAATTACTGGAGAGAAGAACCACCAAGGCTTGGTGGAGAAGAAACAGGGCAGTTTCAAGGAGAGATGGGTGTCTGTCCAACCTCCTGGTATGAAAACACAACACCTTCTTCCAGCAGATGGATTCATTGGAAAAGTTTCTTTTTCGTTCCTAAATACATGAGTACTGACACCTCAGCACAGCATTCTTGAAAAGTCTTGTTGGACCTACATCTCCTGGATACGTTGCTATTTATTCCTACACTTTTGGCATCTCAAAGCAAAGTGTTACTTTTCAGATGAATCTTTACGAGTCCCACACCTCAGTCACCCCCACAGGAACGATGCAACAGCCCGTGGGGAGGAGATGACATCAGTGTTGACAGATATCCACCGTTTTACCCAAATAGCAGGGTTTCTATGAGCTCATCCAATACCTCGGGACAGCAGGCATCTGAATAAAACTTGCACGGGAATGCAGACTTACTTCAAAGAACTTCTGGATGACATAATTTCCAAATACATCGACCATCAACTGATAAGCTGCCTGGAGGATCTCGTTGAACACCAGCTGACGTTCTGCTGGGGTAGCACGCTCCAGTTTCAGCTGAATAAACCTGAAAAACAGGGTTGGTGTGATGCCACTGGCACGTACGCCCTCAACACATTCATTAATACAAATCCTTTCAAAAGTCCTATACACTAAGCTCTTGCAAAACAAATCTTTAAAACACAGTTGCCCTATCCAGCAATCTGAAACTTCAGGGTGGTTGCAGTCATGAGGTCCATGGCCACACGTCATTGTCGGTACCCCAAAAATCTCCTCGTTCCACATAAAGCAGATCTCAATAGACTAATACAGAAAGGTTTCACGTCCAGACGGCTCTTTAAAATGAGTTAAGCTATGCCAGTGGGACTAGCGGGCAAATTACAAAGCAAGCAAGCTCCTCTTTAGAGGAGGAACTCCTCCTATCCACATTTGTATCCAAACAATCTTTAAAAAGAAGGGTCAGAGTGTTACACCACTTGGCTTTTCACACCTCATTTTCCCTGTTCTGCCTCTTTGCTTCAGGTTGTGATGCAAATTGCGATGCTAACTCAAAGAGCAGCTGTCCCAAAAGCTTCCCATAGCACAAGGTTTTTAATCCCACCTGGATCCATGCTGGTCTTGAGAGAACTCCATAATGTGTCCAGCGATCTCCCTCAGCTGTAAATTAGGGTACCGGTTATTACGAAAGTCTTCAAGAAGCCTGCTTCGGCCAGAGGGCATAACATCAGACATCCCATAGCGCAAGCGAGATGAAGGGAAGAGCGTACTGC